GGCGGTAGCAGACCGGGCATAGCAGTAGAGGCACACCAGACCAAATGTCCGCCCGGGCCCAGTACAGGCCCGTGAAGCTCCGCCGCCATGCTGCAGCAGTCACGGCACAGCAGCCGCCGTCCATGTGGCGAGGAGCTCGCCAGAACCACCAGAGAACAACCCACCGCGGCCCCCCAGGAGGCCTGTCCTGAACCAGATCGGGCTCGTAGGGCCTAGATCTGGGCCAGTCGGGCGCCGCCGGCCGCCACTAGCCATGGGCCGTCACCGTCGCCAAGGGGCAAGGCCTTAGCACCACCGCCATCTAGATCCGCGCCGGAACACTGCCGACCGAAGGGCTCCGCCGCCAGGACCGCTCGCCCGAGCCGGGGTCCAACGACGGGGGAAGAAGGGGGGCCGCCACCGCCGGACTGCGGGGCGCCGCGCGGGCAACGCCCGGCCGCGCCCGCCGGCGGCAGCGGCGAGGGGGAAGGGAGGTGGCAACTCGCGGGGAGGGGGAGGAGTGGGGAACCTCCCGGGTCGCCTCGCTCGGGGAGGGTGACGCGGGGGGCACTCTATCACAATATGTGCAACTTCTACGATGTTGATATAGTAGAAACTTGTGCTTTTTTGCACGGAATTTATTTAGCCATTATGCTGGCATGCAACTGAGTTTGCTTCTAGGCAGATTGCATGGAGGTGATTGAAACTATGAACAATGGAGGAAGAACATATATCGGCAACTGTAATATTTGATGAATGTGCAAACTTGGCTAACGACCATGTGAAGGCAACATTTGTTTTTTTGTTCTAGAGGCAAATAAGATACTCTCTCCGGTCCAAATAATTGCCGCAGGCTCGCAGCTCTAGGACAACTTGATCGGTTGGATCGCGAAGATGTTCGACTACATCAACCGCGTTACTTAACGCTTCCGCTTTCGGTCTACGAGGGTACATGGACACACTCTCCCTCTCATTGCTATGCATCTCCTAGATAGATCTTGCGTGATCGTAGGAATTTTTTTGAAATTACCGCGTTTCCCAACATGATGGATTAAGCATCATGTTGGAGGCGAGGGAGTAGTTTGCTATGTGAGAGCGGGGACATTTGTGTCCGTCCTGGTAGTTTTCCTTTTTTTTTCTTTGCTTTAACCTATGTATATATGTTTTGTTTCCCCATTATTAATGAAAAAGCAGATCATGTGCTAATTCATCATAGGAAAATTTATGGAGTGGAAGGGAGTACGGTCTCCTTCCTAGCCCTAATCTTGTTGTACTCTTGGACTGTAGACTAGCATGAAATGAAGTGGCTACGATGTTTTCACATGTCATGATAGTACAAAGTTGAGAAAGAAAAAAGCAATGAAAGGATTTATTATGTACGATATTTGTTATCACTTTAGCTCAATGCTCTCACTCACGGATGGTTCTCATCTTCATATGTTGTTGCTTACAATTATATCGACATATCAATTAGGAAAACAATACTTTCCCATGGTGTGGAACGAGCCCTCTAGCAATGAAGAAATAGCTCTCACAAACTGTGAGACTAGTGTGTTCCATCATGCCTCCCACACGGTGGCTCGTGAGAGAAACCCTAAACTAAACTCCATCTTTGTTGTGTTAAGAAGTATTTAATGTTCAACTCATCGAAACAATAATGAACATCAGATTTAAGAAAATGGAAATGAACAAAAACAATAAAGGCCGATTGTACTTCAATCAATGAAGCAATAAAGCCGTATAGTAGTTCCAAGAAAGGATTGAATGGGCATTTGGTATTTATTACTTAAGCTAGACCTATAGGGGGCGGGGACTTTGACCCTTGAGATTCATAAAACAGAGGATTTGAAAGAAGAAGAAATAGGGTCGTAATGCTGTGACCTCTTGAATCCTATAGGATTGGAAAACTACATGAGCTTACATCACAAATTCAATGATTTAAAAGTACAGGGATGGAAGGTTGCATGCAATATTTTTCGAACGACTTTTGCCAATGTTAGAGAATGATTTAGTGGAGCAGGTATCAACATAGGGAAATTCTGGTGTGTTACCGGAAGGGTGGAACAACAATGGTAAGGATGATTCCAAAGGTACAATCGCCACAAAAGATCTTGCGATTATGACTGAGTTTATGCAATGTCATCTATAAGATTATACCTAAAATGTTGGTGTCAAGAATCAAAATGTTATTGCCAAAGATTATTAGCCCAACACAACGTGCATTTGTGTCGGGATGCTAATCACACACAATGCAAGACAGGAATATGAAAGCTTTCACACAATTAAAAACTAAATAGATCGAAAGAATGAGCTATGTGCCATCATCTTGGATATGCATAAAGCTGATGACCACACAAATGGTTTCTTTTTTTAGAGAAAATCATGCCGAGACTAGGTTTTGTGCCTTAATGGGTCAAGATGATAATCTCATGTGTTACCACAGTTGAGTACCAACTCAAGTTTAATTCGCAAGAAAGGCAGACCATCAAATCTAGTAGGGAACTATGACAAGAGACCCCTAATCTCCCTACCGTTTTTATTCTTTTTGCTGAAGGTTTAGCAAGTCCGTTCACTCATGCTGGAGATGCAAGAAAACACTAGCTATTGTGCCAAGGTATGCCGGGAGGCCCTCAAATTTCGAATTTACTATATGCAGATGATTCGCTATCCTAATGAAAGCACATGTGCAAAATGCAACATCTCTATGCACATTCCTTGATGACTATTGCACTACATTAGGTCAAATGGGGCTGAAAGGTGTGACTATTTCAATATGTAGTGGAGAGAGTTTGCAAAAGAATCAATGGGTGGAAAGAAAAGGCTGTATTTAAGTGGAAAAGAGGTGCTTCTCAATGTGGTGGCACAAGCTATCCCTTCATATGTGATGTTGGTCTTCAAAATCCCTATAATATATGTAAGGGAATTACTGGTTTGATGTCACATCGTTGTTGGGGTGACAAGGAAAATCAAAAGAGAATGCATTGCTTTGCTTGGATGAAGACGTGTGTACCAAAGAAGAAGGGTGCAATGAAATTTAGAGATATACACTACTTCAATCTTGCGATGTTAGGAAAATGAAGCATGTAGGTTGATTTCATATCCTGACTCACTTTGTACCAGAGCGTTAAAAGCAAGCTATTATCCGAATGAGGATCTTTTGCAACTCAACTGAAGGGCTCATCCTTCACTTGGCAAAGTACCATTACCATGGTGGGAGTTCAGACTTTCAAAAAGCGGTGCATATGTAGAGTAGAAGATGCATGGCTTAAAAACTAAAATTGTGGATACTTATCGGGTTTTTTTTAAAGGAGGATTTCCAATGGCCTCTGCATCAGATGATCCACATAGACATAATTAGAAACCCAACGGTGGTACAAGATGTGTGACAACTCGTAAAGAACAATCGATCATTAACATCACTCATGTTAATTATTTGAGCAACGGAAATCCAACTCGGTACCCAGGCTCATATGCTCCCGCTCAGAAAAACAAATCAACATAAATACTAAAAAAATTCAAAAAAAAAATCAATTTTTTTGGGTGGTAGATAATTTGATGCGTGAGGTCCGCTATAAATTTCAACTCATTTGGACATTTTGGCAGCTCTCGGCAAAAAAGACAAATCGAGTCAGAACAGTGCGTAAACAGTAAACATTTCTATAGACCCCGATTTTGTCTTTTTTGCCGAGAGCTGCTCAGATGTCTAAATGAGTTGAAATTTGGTGCAAACCTCACGCATCAAATTATCTACCATCCAAAAAAAATTTGGAATTTTTTTAATTTTTTTTAGCATTTGTTTTGATTTTTTTTAGAGGGGGTGCTGATGAGCCTGGGAGCAGAAACTCCGCGTCCATTCTAGTAAACGGGTTGAGGAATTGATTCAAGATCCTTTTTGGCCAATTGCGGCAGACCACACATTGAAACTCCAATCAATGAGAATTCTGAAGATTTTGTGGCAAGGCAATACACAAAGTCTCTCTTGATCAACATATTATACCGAGTGGGAGCATTAACATGGGTGGAAGCTGAGTCGAACATCTGGTCATGGAGCATTAAATATCACCCTCAAATGTAGAAGCAAATTTGGTTCAAACATCGACAAGAACCGCATTGGCCATTGCCGCTCTAGCAGCAAAATATGAAAAAAAAGAATTATGCTAACAAATCAACAGAAAATTTAGTCTTAGTTTGTCTATGTTGATGTGTCTATATATTGGATCCTTCTGATCTACGCTTCTCTTCATCGTCGGCGGTTGTAGTTCTGATGCGCTGATACTATGAGGCCCTAGCATGACAACTACGCTTCTCTTCATCGTCGGCGGTTGTAGTTCTGATGTTGTGATACTATGAGGCCCTAGCAGGATAACTTCTCAACGTGTCTACTTCAACAAGTTTTCCCGGCTTCGATGAGGAAGGGGCGATGATGGCGGTGCGCCTTTGACTCGTTTCAGTGATTGTAGTCGTCGCTAGGTAGTCTATGGCTCTAAATGCAATTTTATTTATTTCTGATTTTCATTGCACTACCATGGTTGATGAATAGATCGGAAGTTTCACGGAAAAAAAAAATCAACAGTGAAGCACCATGGTTGGATGCCACCGCCTGCTGACACGGTGAAGGTCTCGTTGATGCATCCTTTGATGCGGATACCATGTAGGGGGCGTGGGAATGATAACCAAAGACTCGAGAGGCAATTTCACTGGCGTGTCGAGTAAATTTCTTGATCAGGTATACGATGTTGATATAGTAGAAACTTGTGCTTTTTTGCACTGAATTTATTTAGCCATTATGCTGGCATGCAACTGAGTTTGCTTCTAGGCAGATTGCATGGAGGTGATTGAAACTATGAACAATGGAGGAAGAACATATATCAGCAACTGTAATATTTGATGATTGTGCAAACTTGGCTAACGACCATGTGCAGCAGACAGGAGAAATGCTAAACTGCTGGAACTACATCTCCTGATATTCGTTGCTGACTTCTCGAGTTTGTCCAGAGAAAAGCCGTGGCGATCTAGTAATACTAATTGTGAACTCTTCTCAGCTCCTCGGACACATTCCTCGAAGCCGTCACCCCCAGAGCCTCCGCGATGCTCCTCACCTCGGCGATCATCGCCACGACGTCGTTGAGCTTGTTAATCGCAGAGCCAACTCCCTGCAGCCAGTGGGGAGGAGAAGATCAGTTGCTGTGAATAAAAAGACTCACATGTTCCAGAAGGCAGGAAAAAAAGTATATTTCGGCTTTCAGTATACAGCACAAAAAATCATGGCAGGTCGAATGTTCTGGATCAGTGTTGGTTTATTTTCAGCAACAGACTTCACATGGTCTCATGGCTTTCTCATCATTATGCAGAAGTTTGAGATACAGGATACATACCACACCGGCGGCTCCTGCGGTTACTGCCATTGGTGCAGTCACTGAACTTAGCCCCGACGCGCACATCACCGGTATACTGACGGCCCGTGAGATGGAGTATGCGGCTGCCAATGTTGGTGTTGCCTACAATTCGTTGAATACTAGTTAAGAATTTGTGCAACAAGAAAATAACAACACTTGATACGATGTGTTCTACTCCCTCCGTTCCATAATCTTGCCGTGGTTTTAGTACAAATTTGAACCAACGGTCTATGGAACCGAGGGAGAATTTAGCATTTTCTGAGCTACCTTTTCAATTAGGCCAAGCACCCCAGGCTTTGTCGGACTAGAACACTTCCCTCCTTCAGTCTGGATGATATCGGCACCTTCCTCTTCAAGTAGCTCTGCAAGTCTCATCTGTAATTTTGCAGAGAGGGGTTCCGTATTAGAGCACTTGTTAACTGTCATTTAAAGAAATCTTGTAACTGAATAAATGACAGAGGATGATAATACCTGATCTGGGAGGCTCAGAGTGTGAGGAACTGTTACTGACAACGTGATGTCTGGAAGCATCTTCCTTGTCTCCCTTGTCAGGTTCAGTATCTGAAATTGATCAAACGTGTATTCAAGTTCCCACATAGAAATGATGGTTCGTAGCACTAAATAGATGAACCAATAACAAAATCGATAAGTTTAAATAGCAATAAGCTAAAAAAATTACTTGCTCAGAAGAGAATTCGATGCCTGCGTCGTAAAAGGAGTCGTAGTTTCCAATCTCAATCTGCACGAGAGAAGTTTGTGAAGGCCAGTGGCTAGCATAGTAAATAAAATGCAGTTGAACCTTGTTGCACAGGTGCCATCCAAAGTTAGGGACTGACCATTTGCGCGCCAGCCTCTACCGCAGATTGGAATGCTGAAGGATCCACAGACGATACACATATCTGCAAATATGCAATTCCCATAATGCACTTAGCATACATTAACTCTACAATTGGGTACAGGAACTACAGTTGACAATTTATGATAACTCTGATTCGTTAGCTCACCGGAAGGTTAGTAAGCTCCAGCGCAAGCTTTACCAAGTCCTGGTCACATGCTATATCAACATGGGTAGCACCTCCCTGCAATCATTAAACAAGATGACAAGCTTGTGATAATGAGTCGTCCTTTAATTATTTCTGTGATATATGCAGGACAGCAACAAGATTATTAACATAATAGCCTCATGGCATATAGCTGTTGTATATGAAAAAGTGGATCATTTTTATATCCAAAGCAATATAAATCATGGCGTTGGCCTCCTGAATACATTTGGATACAAAATAGAGGCACTTGTACTGAATTCCGCTTGTTATCATAAGTTTTTTTTCAAAGGTTCGTATAAAGTTTTCCAGCAATACTTATTATAAAAGCTATTAGTTGGAAAAGAGTATCAGAGTGGGTTGATAACAACAGTTGCTTCCTGAACACTAATAAAAACAGTTGCTTCCTGGATACTGATTTCCCTGACGTTGACTAAATCTGATGAGGATACTTTGTCGCTGCAGCTAATTAACTTGCATTGACAATGACTTCTCCAAAACAGAATTCACAATTGATGTACTGCCATGTGAAGGATACTATGTGCTGGTTCTGATTCTTCTGATCAGACAAACGACGAGGCTTAGGTACTAATCAAACGCTGCCTTCTACTTGCGGACTTCTCGATTGACAAGCTCAGCAGTGACCTAAGCTGGCAATATTATCAACTCCAGAGCACATCACCAGCAAACGCAACACCATTATGTTATTGCATCCCAGATAAAGTTCATAGGTTAACATTTCATCCCTCTGCAAGAGCTAAACTGTAAAAAAAAACAGAGCATGGAAAACGAATGCACCAAACAGCATCCACACCTTATCCGCAGCCGTGACGACGGACGCAACATTGGACCTGTCGAAGTTCTGGAGCCCCGAAATGATCTGCGGGTGCAAAAGGCCAATCACTGTCGTCAGAGCCCAGCAGCAACATTCCATCATACATACCAAAGCAATGGAATTTCTATTGCTCTACGCTTCGACCCAGAGATGACTTCTACATCTATCATCAGAGCCCATCAAAGCAATGGAAATTTACTACTGCACGGAAGGTATCAAGATGGATAGAGTGAGACCTTGAGAGCCCTGTTCTCACGGAAGGGCCTGAGCACGGCGTCCTTGGCGGCGGCGGAACCCGCCGAGGCCCGGACGGCGAACACGGCTCGCGCCGCTCCCCGGCTCGTGGCTGCCGCCGGACGGCACTTGGCCGCGGCGAAGGACGGCGCCTGGAGAAGTCCTAGGGAGCCCGGCGCTGCCATTCTTGCTGCTGAAGAGATTTTTGGGAGTGAAAGAGATAAGGAGACTGAAGCAGTGCACTGCACCGGGAAAGGCTCTAGTGTAGATATATGCTATCTTCCACGGTGCAAATGCCTGACAGACACCTGGAATTGAGCAAGAGGCCCTTGGAATTTTGCAAGGTTTGCAGATTGCTCCTCGGCTGTCAGATTAGTACCACATCCCAAGCATCTGAATAGAAGATGCCATGTGCACCATCGTCTCAATTTTTGCAACGTGTGAGTTTTTTGGAGATGCAAATGTAAAACGGCAGTTTTTTTGGAGAAAACATGATAAGTAGTAACATTATTGAAACATACATCGATTAAAAGATTTCATATCCGGCTGCTTAAGAAGATGACATAGAGATCGAATTTTGTCCAGGGGAAACTAGTAATACATGACCATGAGATGCATATCCGGCTGCCGCATTTTGACGAACACCTGCCCTGCCTTACTTCCGGATGCCGTTCAGGCGCTCGACGACGGTGATCAGCCCCTGCAGGCACAGCTCGCCGTCGCCGTTGGCCGACATGGCCGAGAACATCTGCCGGTACAGCGCCGAGCCAGGCAGCACGTTGGCCTCCTCCTCCTCATCCTGGCCGTCGCCGACCTCCAGCGCCATGCCGAGGTCCTTGATGATGTACCGCACGGCGCCCCCGGACGCGAAGTCGCGGCTCACCGCGCGCTCGCCGAAGATGTCCATCACGCGCGACCCCGCGGCGCCCTTGGACACCGCGCCGAGGAACAGCCGCTCGTCGAGCCCGGCGGCGCCGGCGAAGGCCAGGGACTCGCCGAGGCCGACCACCGCGCCGGCCACCGCGATCTGGTTGGCGATCTTGCTGCTCTGCCCGCTGCCGGGCGGGCCCATATAGGTCGGCCGGCCGAGTTGCGCGAAGAGCGGGGCGAGCCAGGCCACCACGGCCTCGTCCCCGCCGGCGAGGAGCGCGAGCGTGCCGTCCCGCGCGCCGACGTCGCCGCCGGAGACGGGGCAGTCCACGGCGTGGCAGCCGGCGGCGCGCGCGGCCGCGGCGACCTCGCGCGCGAGGGACGGGGAGGAGCTGGTGCAGTCCACGAGCACGCCGCCGGGGCGGAGGCCCGCGAGCGCGCCCGACGCGGCGTCCAGGACGACGGCGCGGACGTCGCCGGGGTTGCCGACCATGGTGAAGACCACGTCGGAGGCCGCGGCCACGGAGGCCGGCGAGCCCGCGAGGCGCGCTCCGGCGGCGACCAGGGCCCCCGCCTTGGCCGGCGTGCGCGCGTAGGCCGTCACCGCGTACCCGGCGGCCAGGAGGCGCGCGGCCATGGCGCCGCCCATGACCCCGATGCCGACCCACCCCACCCGCGTGGCCCCCGGACGCACCTCCGCCGGGAAGCCGAACGGCGTCGCTGTCGCTGTCGCCTCCTCCATCGCCATGACCTCCAGCTCCTTCACTCCCAATCCCCAGCTACCCAAAGCTAGACTTTTTTGTTGCTGTGCTTGCACGAGACAGCGACAGATTTACAATAAACAACTCATCGGCTTCAAAAATGAACATACAGTACAAAATTGCATCACACCATCATCCCCATTCCCCAAACGACGAAAATCATCTTGAGCAGATTGGGAATTTCTCCATGGTTTTTCCTCATGGCGGGAAATTTACAGCAGAGTAGTCGATCGATCAAAACGAAAAAATTACTAACCAAAGAACCGAGAGCAAGTAACAAACAAACAGTAACAGAGTACTCCCTCCGTTCCTAAATATAAGTCTTTGGAGAGATTTCACTATGAACCACATACGGATGTATGTAGATGCATTTTAGAGTGTAAATTCACTTATTTTGCTCTGTATGTAGCCCATAGTGAAATATCTACCAAGACTTATACTTAGGAACGGAGGGAGTACATAGCTAGCGCTAGCGGCAGGCTAGATGTGGCAGCCGCAGCAGAGGAAGAAGCAGGAGAGCGCGAGGCCTAGCACGACGGCCTCCACGACGTACATGACGCGGAACGCCACCTCGTCCAGCGCCGCCGACGCCGACCCGGCGCGCAGGCTGAGGGACGGCAGCGCCGGCATCCGCTTCCACCGGAGCGACCGCGACAGCGACGACGCCAGCCTCCGGTACGACGACGGGCCCGCCACCCCGCCCCCGCCCGCGGCCTCCGCAGCGCCACCGACGCCAGCGCGGGGCTTCCACCGGCGGCTCCGTGGCAGGTACTCCCGCGGCACGAGCCGGCGCAGCCACCCGCGCCTCGCCGCCGGCCCGATCGTCGCCCCGGCCTTCGCCGCGGCCGGGGACATGGGCGCCGTCTCGGACGCCGTCGTCGTCGTCACCACGGCTGCCGTCTCGGCGATGGCCATCTTGGAAAGTAGTCGGGAGCTCGACGAGTCTTTTGGGTCGGTCTTGGGCGGGGCGGCGTGATTTATGGGGCGAGCAGGAGCAAAGGCGGGTCCTTTTCGCCCGGCCGGGCGGTTTTCATTCCCCGGCTTGACAAGGAAGACAGAGTAACGATAACACGCGCGCCATGGATCGGCACGTTGCTCCACTGAATCCTTGCCAGTAGTAGTACAACGTAGGACGACAGCTGCGTCCAGCGACTGTTCTTCGTTGCACGTGTCCGTTCATTCCGCGGCTCTCTCGATGGTTCTGGTGCTATGTGCTCCCTCCGTCCGAAACTACTTGTCGTGAAAATGAGAAGTAATGGATGTATGTAGAATTAATATACTTCTAGATAAATCCATTTCTCCGGCAAGTATTTGTGAACAGAGGGAGTACGAGCCTAGGTACGGTCGGGTATGTACTAACTTACAGTTCTACTACTCCTTCCGTTTACAAATATGGATGTTCTATTTTTTTTAATTGGATGTGCATACACATTTTAGTGTGTGTCTTCGCTTATTTCAATGCGCATGTGGTCAATATGGAAATATCGAAAACATCTTTTATTTGTGAAGGGCTGGAGTATATCATCTTTTTTCTTTTCTTTGCAGAAAGGAGACGGAGGGAGTATTTGCTTCTACTATATGTGTTATAATTGTTTCGAAACGTTCTGAAACCGCCTGCCGAGAAGGACATTTGTTTTTGGAGCCAGTTGCGAGAGTGGCGCTCCACATTGACATCGACACCTCTCTCCCGTCTTCTCCCACGCCGACGTCAATGGCCGAGCGCTTCCCAGGCAACGGCGCAGCGGCGAACGTCTACGAGGCCACCTACCCGGCGCCCCCAGACATGCGGGTGTCGGGCACCTGGAGGCTCAGCGCCGGCGGCGTTCCGGTGCCGCCCGCACCGATCGGAGCGGCCCGCGAACCAAAATCGCGCGCGTCCGGTCTTCGCCACCAGAGCCACAACGGAACCAACTGTGGTACGCCCCCGACAACAACGCATTGTAGATGGCGTACTTCGAGCGGCACCATGAGGAGAAGATCGCCGCCGCCAACGGCGTCGAGCCGCGCGGCCGCCAGAACTCCGACAGAAGACACCGATGGTGGGGCGTCCCAGGCCACACACTCGAGGCCGTCCTCAAGCACATCGAGGCTGGCAACATGCAGCGCCTGGAGTACCCGGTGCCCCCTCCCTCTCTCGTCGCCGCGGTGAATGGAGACGGCGACATCATTGTTATCGGGCTCTGGCTCTTTGTCCTTCGGCTCGCCGGCGCTTCACCCCGTCAAGCCGGAGCCGCTGGAGGCGCCACTGGGGCACCGCACCCACGGCGGCGCCCATGTCATCAACGCGGGCGGCCGCCCCTGTCCTTCTTCCTACCGCCTCGTCCGGCCGAAGACCGAGTCTGGTTTGCTCCCCGTGAAGAAGGAGCACCAGGCCATGGCCGCCGCCGACGAGACCGCTCTCAAGTGGGCGAAGGCGGACTACGTCCGCGAGCAGATGG